AATTACGAGGCGAATTGGAATGGTCCAGAAAAACGCGTTGTTTGGAATAGCAGTGGGGTTCAAAAAGTTCATGCAGATACGGGGTGGTTTTTATAAGTGGTTCCAGATGTTTTTGCCCATGGTTAAGAGATGCCAAGTTTTTTGGAAGATGTTCGCAGCCAAAACGCATTCTTCCGTACGTCGCATTTCTGTGTAATTTCGCATGTGGTGTTGCATTATGTCCGGGATGATGCACGTCTTTTTATTTTTACCGTAGTCTGTTTTGATATTGGAGTAAATGCTTATTTTCGAAACATCCCCATTTCTTTGAAATGGTTTCGTCCGTTTATGCAACTGTTACTGCGCTAATGACGACCAGTCGCGCTGTCCTGATACACCGCGAATGTGCGAGTGTTCCCTGTAGACAGTCCCGGGAGTCATTTTTTTGCACATTCCAGGAGCCAAACCAAAATACGTTCATGAACCGAGTCCAAAAAACCGAAACGTGAAAATCGGATGATCGGACCTGATGTACATTTCTTTTTCTATAGATTGTACACACAATACACACATCTTTAGATAATCTGGCCATGGCAGGTTAAAAAAAAGTAACCCTGAATCATACTAGATTAGCGTAAATGCATGTTAATGCGTTCAAAACAAGAAAAAAATTGTTTCCGGGTATTAATCTCTTGAATCACGGCGCTGAATATTGACGCAAAAATATTTCGGGCATCGCGCGCCCTTCCCGCGTCACGTGTAGGCATCTCGCATCTCTGATTGGTTGTTGCGTCTTAAGATGACTGAGCCGACGCGCGTTTAAACAATTTTTCTTTGTTCGATTTATCACACTTCACAGAGAATTGTCGCCAATGGCTACTTCTTTTTGTTGCAATATATAATACTTCACGGAGAATTGTCGCCTATGGCTTCTTGTTTTATTTGTTATCAGTGCCCCGTATCGAATTGCTGTCTATCCTTTAGGTATTTTTATTCCTCGTATTTCATTATTTTTCGTTTTATTTTGTAATCATTCTTGCTTTCTTAATAGTTGACGATTAGGCGAAGATAAAAACCCTATCTTCCTGTATGAATTTTCCTTTATTTTACGCAGGTGCCACACCCATGCGGCGGCCTGAGTGTTATGGACGCGAGGACGCAGCTACAAGAATACCCAATCCTATGTACGCCTCCAATGCAGGTGAGTCGTCTACAGAGTTTTAGCATTTCCGCATCATTTTCTACTGGTGTTGATTTTCCGTAGACTTATTAAAAGATGAAATACATTTCACCATAGATTGCCCCTTGTATAGTAGAGATAGACTCATATTTTCTAGCCACGTATTTAGTATATTTCCCCACTTTAGTTATTTGACTTGTAAAGAGAAATTTGTATTCCTTTTAACTTTTGATAAACCTACTCTAAGTAATCTCACAGCCGCATATATCCATACAATCACTACTAAGCGAGATGAAGCCGAAAAGAATAGAAATTAGACATTTATTTACACTCTTATATGTTCATATATTTGTAATGTATATGTTTATGCTCATGTTCTTTACCCATGCGACCTGTACTTAGTTTTGTAGAATACAACAAAAGTACAATAAAGGTCTTCATTCAATTCAATTCAATTTTCCGTACTTGTCCCAGGCACCACACCCATGTGGCAGCCTCAGTCACTGCGATCACTTGCGGACGCCGCTGCCAAAATACCCAACCCTATGTACGCCTCACATGAAGGTAAATTGATTACAGTATTCTTTTCAGATTATCATGAAAGTTCATCTGTGTTGGTAGTAATCATAGTAAAAGGTTGAACTTTATTCCAACACACAATATGTACAGGGATCAAATTTTCAGCGACCACTGTCGCCTTCATCAGGATAATTAATGACTGTAATTCTCGCGAGATCACGTTGTGAAGTGATTGGTCATTAACTATCCTGATGAAGGCGACAGTAGTCGCTGAAAATTTGATCCCTGTGCATATTGTGTGTTGGAATAAAATTCAACCTTTCACTAGTATTCTTTTCATTTTTACAACTTCTACCTTCTGTTAAACGCCTAAGATTTTCCACGGATGACTGCATTTAAACGTCTGTTGTTGCTGTTGTTGTTATGTTTACCGAAGGAAAACATATTGTTTTTGCTACGTTTCTTCTTCTGTTCCAAACACTAACCTCTGACCTGGCCAATGGCCTGATTTGTTGATGTCTGTCACCATGGTAACTGGTGTTGGGTTACATAATGTTGCAATTTTATAGGAGGGATGTAGACTCCTGTCTGACCATATATAATATGAATGTACATGTATTTGAGTAAGAAGAATACCATATGCGAAGGTAAACATTATGCATTTGCTTTGCAAATTTTACCTTTCTAGTTTTGTTTTTATTTCTTCTCTTTCCTCTTTAGGCGCCACACGTATGCGGCAGCCCCTGCCGTCTTGGCGATCACTTGCGAACGCCGATGTGAAAATGCTCAACCCTATGTACGCTTCTAGTTCAGGTAAATCGTTCATATTCCGAATTTCGTTCTTAAAGGCCCAATATTTTTTCACAAATGACTTCATTACATCTTGATTGTTTTTTTGTTTGTTTTGCTCAGCCAACCCACCCATGGACCAACCCAAGACCGATTACCAGGCACGTGCAAACGACGATGAAAACACGCCCGACGCCACGTACGCCAACATACCAGGTAAAATTATTATTTTTTGCACCCTGGTTTTTCATTGCTTGGTGATTGTAACCTAACTATAGCTGAAGTTTTTTTTAAATAGTTACCGTGATTGGTCTCTGGCACTATTCGCGTTCTTGGGTTTGTTGCAAAATAGTTTGTCAAGAGTACTTCACAGTTTCGTAATGTACCAAAATCATTATTTTCAGCACGAAAAAAACTGTAAACATGCAACGAGAAACCATTTCTTTACCTTCTAATGTAGAGGTCACATTTCCAAATCAGTGTCCGGCCGGGCAGTTTCGATTAACATAGGCAAATAGTTCCTATTATTAATTTTTAAAAAGTTTTTATACTTTGTTGTTCTGATAAATTGTTTACAGCTTTATCTTGCTCGTTTTGTACGTTAAAGGCCCAATATTTTTCACAAATGACTATAATACATCTTTTTTTTCGCCCAGACGACCCACCCATGGACCAACCCCAGACCGATTACCATGCTAACGTCGATGAAAACATGCCCGACGCCACGCCCGCCTCTGTACCAGGTTAGACGTTTGAAGTCTCTCTCTTCTCTTGTATCCTGTTTTATTTTTTCATTGCTTTGTGATTGTAACCTCGCTAAATCTGAGGATTTATTTAACCATATGTAGATGGGTGTGTGTGTTAACTATTTCCCATTATTAATTATCTTAAACATTTTTTGTACTTCGTTCATAGTCCAAATCTTGTTCGTTTTGCATGTTCAACTTAAAGGCCCAATATTTTTCAGAAATGACTATATTACGCCTTTGTTTTTTTTTCGTCCAGACGACCCACCCATGGACCAACCCCAGACCGATTACCAGGCACGTGCGAACGACGATGAAAACAAACCCGACGGCACTCACGCCTCCATACAAGGTAAAACGTTTTAAATTTGCATAAGTAATAAGAAAATGTTATTACTTTCCATAATGGAACTTTAAAACATATATCATATGTAATGTATGGCATGTGGAACATTAATAGGCACCAATTATGCAAATGAGGGTCTGATTTGCACAATCAGTACGATAATGCCATTTTTTCCTAGTGGTAAAAAAAGGGCATTTCATGCTCGTGACATGTGTAAATTTGTTGAAACTGAAAAGCAATATGCGTTGACGTAAAAATACCAGCGATGCCTTCATCTCGTTTTTTTTAAGGCCTAGGCCGGCCAGCTTTTTTTAAAAGCCTTTCATCAAATTAATGTTGACGTAAACAATAACCTGAGCGAAGTGTTTTTTATCTCGGCCGCCTGAGCGGCCGAGGTATTGTGCTCCAAAATATGTACGTTGGATCGTGTTTTCGACCGTGAAGAAAAACCCAATGAAACCAATTACTCTGCGTGTATACTTTACTTTGTGGGGTCGAGCTACCGGATGATAGTGTCGTTATTCTTATACAACGAAGTTGCTAAAAAAGAGGAAATGCTGTTTACCACAAAACCATTGTTTTATATCATAGTATGCATTTAAGGTTCTAGAATTTCGCTAATAGCTGCGGTAATTGGACCAATAAATCAATGACATAAATTATGTACATTAACCTTCCATATTTGCTTAAGTCGCAAGATGTCGCTTTTGATTGGTGAATAAATCACTGTGACGCACGTAAATATTCACTTGAAATGAGAAATTACCGCCCAACAAAACGGACCATTAGATTCCCAGTGCTGTATTACTCTTTTGTTCTTGTGGTCAACTTGTTTTCTTTGCTTGAATCGCGTAAAAGACCAAGGAAAATACAATGAAATCGGCAATTATCGCCGAGCCGCGCCGATCTGCCGCCGCCATCTTGGATTTTTTTGGAAAGCTGCAATTTGGCCCAAACCGCTAGAGGGGGCGAATTAAAATGTTTAATATATTCGGTCTGAAGTTTTAGTAGCTCTAGCAGTAGAGGAGAAGTTTGATAATGCATAGAACGGATAAAATAGAATAAAATTAAATGAAATAAAATAAAACAGAATAAAAAATAAAATGAAAATAAATAAAAAATAAATAAAAATAAAAAAATAAAATAAAATGAAAATTATTGTAGTGGTTACATATACTTAACGTTATATTGTATTTAGCAATGATCATTTAGCAAAAAAAATTCGGTACTGAAACTCCGGTATTCAGAATCAGGTACAGGTACAGGTCCGGACCTGGACCTGATCCTCTGGACCTGGAAGAGCCGAACAGGTACCCACCCCTATTGCTAGTGGTGTAATATGGCTGTAATGTCGACACTGTTTGTTGAGTACTAGTACAGTATATTTATATTCCTAATCAAAAGTAACAGTGAAAGATTTGCCCATACATTGGTATTGAAATAAAGAGCACATTTTAGTACCGTTCACCTGTCAATTTGGTCATTTTCCGGGGGGTACGTTTATTCCGGAGGGTATGTATATTAGACTTTGAAGATTTGTCCGGGGGGTATGTTTATTCCGGGGGGTATGTTTATTAGGGACATGAGAGTAGTATGCATTAAATGTTATAAAGATTTGGTAATAACTGCTGCAATTGCACCAATAAACCAAGTTTAAAAAATTACGTTTTAATATTACCTTGAGACATCTGAATAAGTCAAGACGAAGGTTATGGAAGTGCACTATATTCCTCGGTCGCAAGATGTCGCTTTTGATTAGTGGCCTGAATGGAATTTCCCATATCGAAGATCCCGGATGTAACGCATGAGGCTGGTAAGGTATTTACTTAGCAAAAATAGCAAAATATCAGGAATTATAAGGGTATTAGGCATAGAGCCATAGGATAAAAATGGAGCTAAAGATACTACGGGCAAGGGCAATCAATTACATTGTGTTTTATTCCTGCTGTTGAACAGATTTAAACAGAGTTACGTTATCGCCCCCCCCCCGTGAAAATTTATGAATTCGTACAACCTAACAATATGTTAGTGCATTAAGCTTGATAACGTTTGACAGCTCTGTTATTGTAGCCACTCCATTTTGTGTTGTCTCATGAAGTTATACCAAAATAAAACATTTCACTTTTGACACATGCATCTTTGCTCTTTATTCATCAGTATTGTCCAGACATTACAATTTCAATGAAACATACAGATGAAACATAGTTCCTCTGTAATATACAACATGACACTACTGATTCCAAAAAATGTCTTCCCCATACATAGAGCTGTGTATCCTACTCTAACAGAGAAATTAGCTCCACATACATATCCTAAACTCTTTCCTGTCTCTCAAATCTTCAATCACAAATGAAAATCTGTATCTCTACCTAAACATTTTCCCTCCCAACATCTGCTTCGAGATAAATATTTTTCACTAATTCCATTGAAGCAAATGATAATGGAAGCCAACTTATTACCCTGTTTGGTGTTACAGGTATGAACATACTAGGTAATACATTCTTTCCTCTCTGAGTTACACAAATCTATGTGGACATCCTCCAAGAACACAAAACTACATGGCCAGCGGCCGAGATAAACTTTTTTCAAAAGTCTTGTTTTCCTACCAGATGGCGCGTGTCCGGGTGGAGCGAGCGGCCGCCGTGGTGTCTGTAGCTTCCTCCGCGCCCGCCGCAGCTGCCTTGCCGCTTGGATCGGCGTGCTGCTGAGCCTGGGTACCGTGGGACTCGCCCTTATGACGCTCAGCATCAAACAGGTAACAGTCGTGTACCCAAAAGTTGTTGTTCAGCTAGTTTTCTTATCCTCATTCTGCTTTTTAGTAAGTTTGTTTCTTTCGTTCGGTATTCTGACGTAGGTAAATACGTTTGTAGGAAACATTGTCGACAACTGTTAAACGCGACCAAGATGACATCCGCCAACTGTCAACCGCTGTTGACGCCTTCACACGTGACCAAGACGACATGTCCGCCACTGTTGACGCCTTGAAGCGTGGTCTGGACAACGAGCGAAACCGAACCATCGCCTTGGAGCAGCGTCTTCACCAGATTGAGAAGACTTTAAGTAATTAGAATAGAGTTTTCAGCTGTTCTGTTTGCTCTTTATGTTGGTCTATTTGAAAACGTCATTTGTTTAAAAACAGATAATGGGGAACATAATTACATTACATGTGTGTGTGTGTGTGGGGGGCTTTATTATATAATTAATACTGTGTCATATTAAATATTCGTTATTGAATAAAGCTCCAAGAGTAGATTTAATGATTTTCAATATGACCCAACCTTTGCCTTTTGCTGATATAAAACATGCTTTCCAGCATCTTGTCCTGAAGGTTACACAATCTGGCGTTATATCTGCTACAAGGCCTTCTACACACTCAAGAACTTCGACGATGCAGCCGCGACTTGTCGTGTAGACGGCGGCACCCTCGCCATGCCCCGAGACGCTGACACCAACACCTTCCTGGCCTCCCTGGAGAAGTCCAAGACTCACGGTTTCTGGATCGGCCTGCACGATCGGCGCGAAGAGGGAAAGTTTGAGTGGGTGGACGGTTCAGCACTTGGGTCGTACAGCTCCTGGGCTCCGGGAGAACCGAACGACCATAATGAGGACGAAGATTGCGCTGCAACCTGGGAGGACCAAGTGTGGAACGACGCACATTGCTCCGGGTTACAGATGAACTTCATATGCCAGACTGCTCCAGGTACTTATTTTGTAACCGTACTATTTCCTGAAACCCTTCCATTCAGTAAACATGGCATAGCTTAAGTTCCCATCAGAATAGGGCATCGGACCATCCTTTCTCTTGTTGGGCCACATCGATTTAATTTTATGGATGACATCCGCGCACGCATTGATTTTCGCCTGTTCTAAAGAAAAAAAAAGATCACGTCCTACGAGGCTCTGGTCTGGGTAGTCCATGGTAGATAGTGACATTACGGAGCCTGTAGTAACTCTGGAGGACGGCACCCAGGCTACCGACGCTCCACGACTCAAGAACTCGGTACATACGTACAGTACCGATTCATAAATTCCGCAAAAAGCCAGCATGTGCCGGCTTGTCGTATACGTCGCTATGTACTAACGCAAATTCACAATACCAGGTTTGTATTCCTGTAGTTTAACAGCACATTAGCCGTTTTTTTAATTCGCCCGCGCGCATAAGTTTATGGGTCTTCAGAGGATGTCATCTCTACAATTGAGTCGTTGTGGCCTTACAAACTATCTTCAAGTTAATTTAACCCACATTTTATCCCTGCTGATTTTTTTCAGGATGTCCATAGGCGACAGGAGGGAGTCTCACCACTAATGTACAGCGGCTCTCCGACCATCCGCAGTCAAACTAACTAGTAAAACTTAATCAATCAATCAATCAATCAATCAATCAATCAATCAATCAATCAATCAATCAATCAATCAATCAATCAATCAATCAATCAATCAATCAATCAATCAATCAATCAATACCCTTTATTTATACTGGAAATGCCCTGTCGGCCTTAGCCGCTCTTCCCAGAGGTCCAGTTGAGGGTGGGGTGGGGTCACGGGAACACAATAAATAAGTAAATAAAATTTAAATTAATACAAAAATAGAACTTAAAAAAACTTAAGACCAGGAATTACCGTATTGGTTTAGTTCAGTATTTTTTTTCCAAATGTCCCAACAGATTTAATATACACCAGAAAAATACTGAATAGGATGGTATTAGAACAGTACTGTACAATGCTTCAGTTTCCACATGGAGAGAATTTACAGGAGGATATCAAGTTTAGGAATGGTGATTCTCTGGTAAAAGTAGACGCTGTGCCAAAAGAATAATTATATTTTATTGCTTGTTTTACATTTATTATTATCATTACTTATTACGATACAGAAACAACCACTATATGTCCTTTTCATGACACAGAATCATATCAAGTTTTCTTTGTAAACAATTGGCAACTCGAATGGAGTGAACTTTAGAAGACACCAACTGGAACAAGTCTTAAGGAATAGTGGTTCTGTTATAAAAGTAGACGCTGTGCCAATAAAACATGCGGAGTTTCATTACTTATTATCATACTTGTTTAGACAAGGAACACGATGTTCTTCTAATGGGGGAATCATATTAAGTTTACTTCATGAAAATGTAAGTTTTCCTGAAATTTTTGAAGGTAGCAAGTTTATGAATGGTAATTCAGTCGCTGTGCCAATAGAATATTCATTTTTAATGCTATCATTACTTTTGTTGTTATTGTTTCTTATTGCGATACGATGTATAGGCACACACTGTCCTTCCGAATCATATCAAGTTTACTTGAAGAAAATGAGGGAAGCATCCAGATGTAACTTCCTGAATATGAGGAGGATAGCAAGTTTAGGAATGGTGATTCTGTCGTAAAAGTTGACGCCGTGTCATTAGGACATTCGCATTTTATTGCTTTTCTTGGTTTTCCTATTATTTTTACTTATTACGATAAAATATACATGCACACAATGTACTTCTGATGACAGAATCATTTACTTGGTTACTATTTGGCAACACTTGAATTGAGTGAACTTTTGGGAGACAACAACTGGAACAAGTCTTATGAATGGTGTTTCTGTCATAGTAGACACTGTGCCAATATCACATGTCAAGTAAGGAGCACATTAGTACACATATGGAGGCACCTGTATGTGAATACAGCTCAAGCAGAAAAGTTTACAATCATTGTACAAATGGTTTCGATTCAGTTAATATCACATATAGTAGGAATGAAATGCATCAACGCATTACTGCGTGGAGTAAAAAATAAAGTACAATGTAATAAATCAGAGCCTTGTCTTCTCTCTTTGTATTTATCCACCATAAAAGTTCTGCCAGGGAAACAGACAAATTTTCCCATTTTTGGCATGTTGACCACTGTCAGGTTAACAAAATTTCTTTTTTTTTCAAAATCAGGAGAAAATTAATGCGCGCGCTGATGTCATCCATAAAATTACTTGCTACGGCCTAACCAACGTGTTGGATATTAAAGTAGACAAAGCTGTTTGGCAACCCGCCAAGATGTTTATAGCAACACAAATATGAGGGCCTGCATGGGTTAGTGATTACGAATTAGGCAAAATTTTCGCCACCGATCACGAATTACGTTAACGTCTCAGAGCTTATGACTACTTTACGATTTGCGGCTAATGTCCTATTACGAATTACGTTGATTTTTCTGGAGGATGCCTACGGATTACGAAGTCTAAAAAGGCCTGATTTTTTTTTATTCCAACACCAGACGTGGTGACGCCACCAACACAGGGGACAAATACATGACAGGAAAATACTCATTTTCACCTGAGAGAAGTGAGGAAAGTCGTGTAATTTAGTGCCTTTCCCAAGGGCACAAGATCGGTGGCATGTCAGGACTCGAACCCGGGACCTCTAGGTTCCGAGTCGCGCACTCTGCCTCTACGCCAAACGACCCCACAAAAAGGCCTGATTATGCCTTACGAAAAAGGGCATGCAGGGGTAGCCTGGTATCCAGCCATGTTAGCTTTAGTCCGCTATCCAAGATCCGCTCTAGCCTGGTATCCAGCCTTGTTAGCTTTAGTCCGCTACCCAAGATCCGCTCTAGCCTGGTAACCAGCCTTGTTAGCTTTATAGTCCGCTACCCAAGATCCGCTTTAGCCTGGTATCCAGCCTTGTTAGCTTTAGTCCGCTACCCAAGATCCGCTCCCCGCCAACAGGGAGGGGAGCGAATCTTGGGTAGCGGACTAAAGCTAACAAGGCTGGATACCAGGCTAATGCAGGGCAGGCCCTGGTTTATAGCAACACAAATCTGCGCAAACATGTTTGCACGTTTTGACCCTTGTCCCCTCAACTGGTTGTACCAGTCTCCGCCATTTTGAGCCGTTGCCGTGTGATGACGTGTCTTTTCTCTCCAAACTATTGAGGCGTTTTCCAACTTAACTTTGACTCCGTACCGACTCCCGACGGTTTCAATAGACAGGTAAGACCTTTGTGTACCACCCACACTCGCTGTGTCGCTTTGTTGTTGTTGTTGTCGTTGTTTAACGTCTATTATGTCGCTAGATGTGGTCTCTAGGTGCTCAGTTTTACGCTTGGTTCAGTCCAGAGTCAGTTGTCTCTCTAGGTATTAACACTTGGTGACTTGTGAAGCTGGGAGTGTTTCGAGGAGAGCACGTCGAATCGGCGCGTACTCTCGATGTACCGGAAGGAGGGCTAGGTACATCTGGTTGTGTCGCGGTACCGCAGCAGATGATTAAAATCAGGGGTGTGATTCTAGGAAAATCCGTCTCGGTTACTTAGTGGGGGGTGGTTAATCTCCAAGCAGATCGCTATCGGTGGCAAAAATACAGTATCAAATTGGCCAGGCAGTATCCATTAGCCAGAGAAGGTCCGCGGCCACCGACGGTAACGAGCTAAACTCCTATGGCTAATGGATACTGTCTTTTGCCACCGATAGGGATCTGCTTGGAGATTAGGGGTAGGGGGGTGGGGCATATCGAACGTAGTGCGTTTTGAAGGTCGAATATTACCCGGATAACAGAATGAATGGTCAACATTAGCATTACGTGTTGCCAAGTTTGCATGTATAAAATAGGATATACTAGTATAGCAAAGTAGACGTGCAAGTTTATAGATAAACGTACAGAATAGTATCTAGGCCATGTCAGAAAGAAAAAAAAAGTTGTCAAAAGTTATCTACCTGAGATTTAGACCCTACAAGAACCTTAGTAGGTTACTAAGACATGTCAAGTGCTTACTGGGATGAGTGGCCTTTGCTAGAATTTTTAAGGCCGGGTCACCTTAACAACATAAACATCCGCATATTGATGGCGTTAATTTATGGGTTTACGGAAAAACCTGGGTGCCTGCCAGGCCTGGCTACCTTGTCTGTCTACCAGGCCTGGCTAGCACGTCAGGCTACTCAGATCCCCCCATTCATATCCTCACCAAAGATAAGGCGTCCAAGCAGCTGCGCCCTCTAGCGAAATGCATGGAAACTATTATCCATTACACTGGTACGTACTGGTACCCCTTACACACAGCAAGAAATCTACAGGGAAAGTAGAAATAAACTGATCTAGATATTATTTTTTGAAGTTTCAATAAGACAAGGGTAATACTAGTAAACGGTAACAGGCAAGACAGTTTTAAGCCACCTTATTACCAAACTTCTCGCATTATATGCTTAAAATTACAAACCGTTAATTTTTTAAACTTTTTTCTTCATTGTAGGTCACGAAATGGACAAGACAAGCCACAAGCTTTCTGCTGAAGGGACGTCTACAGCATGTACTGACGACAAGAAAGAAAGCGGGGAGGACAGAAAGAATGATCCCGACAAGAAGGTATCGTCACATCAACATGCAAAAGCCCAAAAAAGACGCAAGACCCCGTCTAAAGAAAATCCTGTTAGAAAAAGAGTCAGAAAAGAGGCATGCAGTGAGTGTGAGTTCATGGCCACTTGTAAAGCTGCCCTAGCTAAGCACATGGCAAAACACACCGGTAACAAACCATTTAAGTGTGACCAGTGCGACTTTGCTACTACGGCGAAATATACTCTAGAGGTACACAAGGCTAAACACACCGGTGACAACGTGTTAATATGCGAAGAGTGTGGTTATAGAACGATGAGCAAGACTTGGTTAACTGTACATATGAAAAACATACATGGGAAAACACAAACTGTTAGAGAAAGACCCAGAAAACTCCCATGCAGTGAGTGTGAGTACGTGGCCACTTGTAAGTCTAGCCTAGCTAGGCATATGACAACACACACTGGTGAAAGATCATTTAAGTGTGACCAGTGCGACTATTCTGCTAAGCTGAAATATAACCTAGATATGCACATCGCTCAGAAACACACCGGTGACAAACGCTTCGTATGCGACGAGTGCGGCTACAGAACGGTCAGCAAATCTTACTTAACTATACACATGAGATATCATACGGGCGAGAAACCATACAAATGTGACCAGTGTGATCACTCTACTGCACGGAAAGAGGACTTGGCCCAGCACATGATTAGAAGACACACTGGACTCAAACCATTCATGTGTGGAGAGTGCGGATACAGGACGGCTAGTAGGTCTGATTTGTGTCGACATATAACAAAACATACGGGCGATAAACGCTACAAGTGTGAAGAGTGCGGTTTTGCTGCTGCGCGGAAAGGCACTTTGAACGTTCACATGCTCAAACACACCGGCGAGAAACGCTTCTCGTGTGAAGATTGCGGTTACAAAACGACAACCAAGTTTGCGCTAACCCGTCACATCAGAAAGCACACCGGTGAAAAGCCG